GTTTTAACTTTTAAATAAAGATTTTTGAAAAGTAAGCCGAATATTTAAAGTGTCTGCCAAAATAATGGTAGACGAGTAGAGATTTGAATCTAGATATGCATTGAACACCAGCCGAATATTTAAAGTGTCTGCCAAAATAAATAATAATAGAATAAAATTTAAATGCCTCATGGATATTTTTGGAAGAAACTATTGCTAAAAAAACTATAGCTATAATCTCCCAACAAGAAAATATTTTCATATAGTAAATTAATTTTAACAAACAGTACACTACAGTTTTTTTTTGTCTAACTTCCATTGAAATCGAGTTATCAAATACAATTCTTCAAACCGTCGATGTTTGACCGGATTTTTCTTTTAAACCACATCGAGCGAAATATTCTTCCTTGCATATTTCTCTGTTTCTTGTAACGATTTTCCCTTGTAAGCATACCTTCATGATATTTTGATCTAAACAAATAAGAAGACATGTTTTTGCAAACTCGCTGCACAATTTTTAATATCACGATAAAAGTAACTACACAATACGGTGCTAATTTTTCCGCATACTGAAAGCAACTTAATCATGGTTGGAAGTTAAATGAGAGAGTGGGGAAAAAAAATAACGTGAGGAACTTAGTCGATTGATGATAACGCATCCACGATGGTTAAGGGCTGCGTTCCTTGGGGTCGAAGTTGTTATGTCCAGAAATGAGACTGCAATATAGATCTATGAAAACGATGAACAAACTCAAGAAAGAGAGAAAAATCTATTTCGTTAATTCAAAATATCATCCGTAATATGACGGTTTAATACGATAATGAATCTCATGATACGATATTGATGAGATTAATTCGCGACATTCGAAATCAGAATCTATGAACTATGAATACTACGATATACTCTCGGACGGCTTATTGGAGTTGGTGGTTTCAAACAGTCCGGAAATCTCGCACATGCTAGGAGATCGCGGAGCAGTTTTGACCGAATGGGAAGAGCGGTGAAGTTGGGAGAAAATCACGTTGGGCGAAATTTCAGGAGAGGATCTTTTATTCAAAATAAAATCTTATCCTTTCCGCGCTCCAAAAAAGAAGGAGTCGGCTCAGAACTCCCAAGAGCTCGAGAGCCCACGCCACTGCCCAGTTCGGTTCGGTGCGAATGTGGTTCCCTTTGTTTATCTATCTATGCATGCTTAATGTTTTGAACACCACACATGCATGATGCTATTTATACAATATCAAAATGTGTCTCCTAATGTGAGACATTTTATGTATATTCATTAAATGTGTTTTATGGCTTTCTTACTCTTAGATCCCAAAACACACATTTCTCATTCTAACATTTTCAACCCATTTTGACTAAACTAAAAACCTATCAAAGGGCCCATTTATTTATTAAAAATGGTTCCAACAGAAATCTCGATGGAATCCTTTTAGGGACTGATGCTCTCCGTATATTTTGAGCGCGAAGTTGATCTTTAACTAAGTCAGATACTTTGTTATGGGAGAAAAACATATGGTCGCATCCTCCGACATCTATACGACAAGAGGCAACGATAGCTTCATTATTGGAGTGAATTTAGCTTTCTTTTTGATTAGCAGTTTCATAGTGGAACAACGAGAATTTTCCTCCCCCTCCCTCTTCCTTGATCATAATAAGTTTAAGAGGTTTTTTGACGTCGGTCACGACCAATTGTAGTCGAGCAAAAAAATAAAAATAAAATTGTAGTCGTGCAAGCAGATGTAGTTTTTCCGTTAAAAGGATACTCTTGTTGAACGCGCATACCTTCCCGAATCCCGAGTAAATGCTACAATC